GGTTAAAGTTAATCCCAACGTTTTTTTCCACTCTGTATTTCCCCATATCAGTAATTTTCCATAGAAACTGTTATCATCATAATTAGCTAGTTATTAATATTAATAATAGGAAGAGAGTGAAGGGAAGACCAGGCATTATAAGCATGGTCACCTGGGCAGCTTTACCAGGAAACTACAACTTCACGCTCCCCAGGGAACCACAGGTCCATTCCCTGCAAATCACTGAGGAAAGAGTTTGAACAAACGGGGAGATGGACACATGCGCAGTGAAGTCGGGGTGACATAGGGAAGGTACTTGCCTGTCATCTAACCTGAGGAAAAGATAATTGGCTAGGGGGATTAAGCCACTGCAAGGATTCGAAATCCTAAAGGGTTAATTGGTTAAGCTCCTAGTTATAATCCCCAAAGAGTTCTCTTTCTCTTGCTTCCTGTTGTCTGTTGCACTCTCTTGTCCAATAACCGCACTCTCCCATGTGGCCTTAAGCAGCTGCATGGCCCAAGGCCATGCAGACGACACATACAGGATGCTGGACTGGACCATGCTTTAAAATGGAACAGAAACTCTGGACACTGGTTTTTATTTTGGCCCTGCTGCAGACAAGATTGAACTTCTTTCTTGTTGGGAAGAAGGGAAATGAGACATTGGAAACCCAGGGGTTTAATTCCACAGAAATAAAGATCATTCATCCTCCCGTGTGAGTCTCAGTAAATTCCTTTCCTTCAAACATTGCAAGAACTCCACTCCCATATGGAGGGTACCCCACCAAGAACAAAATTATAAACAGGTATAAGTTCAACTTCTGGAGGTGGTTGAGGTCTCTCTTCCCTCTCTTGTGAAGAGAGTCTGCTACTCCGTCCATGGAATGGCTTTTCTTTCTTGTCCTCTCTGTTCAATTAAACCTACTTTTCCACTTTAACCTTTTGTCTGGCTCACATCTTGGATTATTTCCTGCAAGAAGCCAAGAACCCTCTTGGCTTGGGGATTGAGTCTCCCCTAGGGACTGGCCCCTCTGGCATCAAAACCACATATTTCTGTCCCTAGCTGGTGTGTCTCAGTTGGTTGGAGCATTGTCCCATTCATCGGAGGGTTGCAGGTTTGATTCCCGGTCAGAGCACATACCTAGGTTGCAGGTTCCACCCCTGGTCGTGTTTCGTATAGGAGGCAACTGATTGATGTGTTTCTTTCTGCTTTCCCTCCTTCCCTCCCTCCCTCTCTAAAATCAATTAAAAAACAACCAACCAAACAAACAAAAAACACCACATATTTCTGTGAGCCAAGGCCAATCTAGGAAACCTCACTTCAGACACCAACTATTACCTGTTTTTACTACCAGAACTTCTTACAACAAATTTGTGGGCTATTTTTTGCCCCTCACCAACCAGTTCTCCAACTATTCACACACCAACTGGGTGTCCTACAATTCAATCAGTTCTGACACGAAATACCCAGAGTAAGCTTAACCCCACAAGACTGACCCCACTTCAGATGCCAATCATAAGTTCTGACCTCCCTCGCTTCTAGAAGACTGACTATAAATTGGGGGTTCCCATGATATCCTTCAGGTTCATTAATTACTAAAATGGTTCACAGAACTCAGGAAAACAGTTTACTGTTAAGGGTTTATTATAAAGGAAAATCCAAATGGAAGAGATTCATAGGGCAAGGTTTACGGGTGGTGTGGAACTTCTGTGCTCTCTCTAGGTGTGCCATCCTCAGCACCTCAGTGTGTTCACCTACCCAGGAGCTCTCTGAACCCCATCAGGTAGGGGTTTTTATGAATATTCCATTATGGAGGCATGATTGATTAAACATTAGTGATTAACTCAATCTCCAGCTCCCCTCACATCTTCTTGGGGATTTAGGGGTGTAGCTGAAAGTTCCAGTCCTCTAATCACATGGTTGGTTCCTCTAGCAACTGGCCCGCATCCTGAAGTTAAATAGGGGCTCATCTAGGGTCACCTCATCACCATAAATACAACTATAGTTGAAAGGCATTTATGAATAACAAAAGATACTCCTAGCACCCTTATCACATTGGAAATTCCAAGGGTTTTCTGCCAGGAACCCCTGGAAAGATCAAATATGTATTTCTTACTACATCATAGTATCATAGGGGGTAATAATAAAATGGGAAAAATGCTCATAATTGTTAAAGTTGAGTGATGGCTACATAGAGACTTATACTAAATCTCTGGGCTTTTGTGAATATTTGAAAACTTAGATAATAAAATGTTTATAATAAAAGAGAATGACAGAAAGAGAGAGCAGACCTTATAAGCCATAGTAAGGAGTCTGAACTTGGTTTTTAACTTTTTATTTTGAAATAATTTTAGATGTGTAGACTCATTGCAAAGATAGTGGAGCATTCCCACATACCCTCTGCCCGCTGTCCTTTAATGTTACATCTTATATAACCATGGTGTATTTATCAAAACTAAGAAGTTAACACTGATGCAATACCATTAGCTAAACTACAGACATCATTCAGATGTCTCCAGTTTTCCCACTAATGTTTTCTTTTTGGTTCCAGGATCCAATCCAGGATATTCCATATTTATTTGTCATGTCCCCTTAGTCTCTTCCAATCTGTCAGTTTCTTGGCCTTTCCTTGCCTCTGATGACTTTGTATTTTGTAGACTCTCTTACATTTGGATTTGTTCTGATGTTTTCTCATGATTAGACTGAGGTTATGGATTTTTAAAAATATATTTTTTATTGATTTTTAGAGAGAGAGGAAGGGAAAGGAGAGAAACATCGATGTGAGAGAGAAACACCCCCTTCCAGGGATCGAGCCTGAAAACCTGGGCATGCCCGACTGGGAATCAAGCTGGCAACCTTTCAGTGCACAGGACAATGCCCAACCAACTGAGCCGCACCAGCCAGGGCTGAGGTTATGGATTTTTGCAAAGAATACTACAGTGGTGGGGTGGCCTTCTCATCGCATGAGGTCAGGGAGAGGGTGGTGTTAACATGACTCATTCCTTCAGCCTTAAACATTTGTTCAGTGGTGTCTGCCAGGCCATTCCGCTATTTTTCCTTTTCTATACTCATGAGAGTCCATAAGTCCAGTCAACACTCAAGGGGACTTTAAAAGCAGAGTGAAACCACTGAAGGGACTTGTGGGGGCAGGGATAATATGTTCTAGCGTCTGTTCCAGAAGGAATGTGATCGCGGAAATGTGGAAATGAGCTCCTGGTGGAGTTTGTGGTGGGTCTAGACGTAAGCTGGTGGATTTGACTGCCTTCAGCAGCCTGACTCAGCAGGTGCTGGTTCTAGACTGGTTGCATGTGAAGAGAGAAGGGGAAGTCAAGGATGGCCTCCAGGTTTCTATCTTGGACAGTTGGGTGGCTGGGGCCTTTCCCTGAATGTAAACCAAGGGGTGTGTGCGCCCCTAGGAGGCTGTGTGTTTTCCTGGACCCCCAGGGAGAAGCTACTTTCTGCTCCTTGGTCTTGCCTTGGGGCAGGTCCCTGAGGGTTACTGGGGGTTGAGGGAGAAATGACTTACCCACCTATATACTAGAAGTTTGGGATTAACAAGGAGGGACAGAGTCTCAAGTAAGAGAGGGGACAGCCACTGAGGGACTGAAAGAAGCTGGAGGAAAATAAGTGGCTCCTAAACCCTTCATCCCCTCCCCGCTTAGCAACCCAATTATGAGCATCTGACTCTGTGGTTTCAAACAAGCAATTTAATTTACCTTTTCCGCGTCCCACCTACCGGCCTTCCCCTGGGCCTGGCGTGTTTTCTGTCCCTTTT